TCCCCCCCTTCCCCCTCCTCCCTTTTTCCCCCCAACTCGTTTTTTTTTCCCTTCTTCTTCTTCTTCTTCTTTCTTCTTTTCTTTCCTTTTTTATTTTTTTCCTTCCTTTCTTTCTTCCCTTCTTCCTTTCTTTCTTCTTTTTTTTCTTCCTTTCTTTCTTCCTTTCTTCCTTTCTTCCTTTCTTTCTTTCTTTCTTTCTTTCTTTCTTTCTTTCGTTTAGGGTTTTCTTTCTTTTTTTTTCGGTATTTTTTCGAAAAGTTTTCCCTTGACAGGTAGAGGTCCAGGGGTTGCGATGCATGCATCACTTTCCTCCTTATGTCAAGACCTGAGACTAGAAGAAAGGGAAAATTCAATCTCTTGTTATTTTCATGGTCGGCCCAACGACCTTACATCAAGTTGCCTAGGGTCCCCTAGCTATGCAATGCAATATCCAATTCTCAAACACTCAATCCCATACTATTTCCAAGGCTGATTCTCATGGCTGGTCCGACAGCCTCTCATCAATCAAGGTCACCCCTTGTGGTCGCTCTGGCGGCCGCTTTCTTAATAGCCATTTTCGCGAGGGCCGACCCGTCGGCTCAGCTTCAATCCTCATCTTTCACATTCCCCAATATCCATTTCTTATGACCGTCCCTCTGATCCATGCTTCTCTTGTCTTTAGTCTCAACCTTCTTTATCCTGCCCTTCTCATTCTCATTCGTCCGTTCTCCTGGCTATCTCAATGACCGATCCACCGGCCTTTTCCCTCTCTTTCATCCTTCCCATTGGCTATTTCAATGACCGATCCACCGGCCTTATCCATCTCTTTCATTCATTTCATTGGCTATTTCAACGACCGACCCACCGGCCTTTTCCATCTCTTATTGCTCATTCCAGCTTATTCCCGATCAACCTTTCTCAATCAACCTTTCTCAATCAATAATGCAGGAGACCTCAGTGCCTATTTCAAAAGGAATGACCCTTGTTAGGGGTCATTCCAGAACAACCTGGTTAGGACCGTTCCTTTCCATTCTCAAGTCGAACAGCCTGGTTAGGGTCATTCTTTTCCATTCTCAAGTCGAACAGCCTGGTTAGGGTCATTCCTTTCCATTCTCAAGTCGAACAACCTGGTTAGGGCCATTCCTTTTCATTCTCAATGTTAGTGCCCGATGGGGTGGGCCTCGAGGTTACGGATCCCATTTCTGTCTTGGAGAATAGAAGGTGGTCATCTCATCTTAGTTTTCAGCGTGCTGTTCCCTTTTTCCATTTCTCGCAGTAATGTACTATCCATGCATACATCCGACTTAGCGTCTAGTACTCGAGTTGGGGCTCGCGACCCCAAGCAGCACTAGCCCACCCAGCCGTTCACCCACAGCAAAAGACAGGGGCACCCCCTCTTATTTTCACTCGTTCTGATGACTCAGACCTCGGCTATTCTCAGACTCCTTCATGACTTAGTTGGATTAGGCTCCTAGGGAAGGAGCGTTCTTCACGCCCCTTAACCCATAGGTTCCCTAACCTCTCTTGTACTCGACCACCATTCAATGTCTTGCTTGCTCGTCAATCTTTACTCAAAGTTTCTTTTCTCAAAAACACAATCCTTATCCCATCCAAAATTCATAATACATCCTCCTCAACTGGTCTCATCCCATGCCCTATGTCATTGTCTCGTGTACCCACTTTCAAAGGTTGCTCATCCAGAAAGTAGCCTCAGAAGCTATCTTCTAATCTTATTCTGTCACAGTCTTAGTTGGCCCTCTTATCACTTCATCCTTAGCAAGCTTACTCATACTATACATGTTCTTGTCGTTCCCATGTCTTTGCAAATAGAAAAGCAGGAATCCTGTTTAATGCTAAATCAACATCTAGTTCCTATTGCTGCCTTGTGCCTCAGCTTGCTCGATTCCTTGTCTACCCTGTTCCTCGGCAGGCTTTCTAACCCCTAGGCCGAAGGTCTCGATTTCCCTCCTTTTCTTCATTATTTCCTATAGTTCCGCCTCACCGAAAAAGTCCAAAGGTGTGGCTTCCATCCTTGCCTTTGCGAGTTCTCGGGCCTTGATGATCCACTCGTGCCTGATCACATTGGTCCATTGCTGAAACCAATGACTGGGCGTTGGCCCAAACGCATCCTCCCATCTGAAGTCCTCATCGCGCGGCTGGTGCATCGGAGACCACCTCTCTTCCCTAGGCTTGGAAATTTCATCCCTCTCATCCCCGCTGCTGATTTCTATGATCTCTTGTACATCCTCCTCCTCGTCCTCCTCGTCCTCCGTCTGTATGGGGCTATACCTTCCCGTTAGGTTCTTTGGATCGTAGGTATAAGGAGTCTTTGTCCTTGTCTCATACCCCTCAGAACTGTCGTGGCCGCTTCGTCCTTCAAGCGGACTTTCTCTTCTCTCCTTTCCATCCTCACGCTCGTCGTGCATGTCCTGTCCCCCCTCGCTTTCCCCATGCCAAGTCTCACGTCGCTCGCCCGTGTTGGCTCCTTCCTCGCCAGAAGCCTGAGCTTTATCTCCCATATCTGCATTGCTCCCTTCTCCCACATTTGCCCTTTTCTTCTCGCCCTCACTGTCATATGAGATTTCTATACCTTCTCCCTTGCGGAGGGGCGAGGGTCTTCTACATACGCACTTTTTTCCACCCCTGCCTACCACTGGCCCGCTCATGAGCCCTATGTACAACTCTCTCTTCGCTGTCCTCCTCCCTTGGCTTGATACTGCTTCTTCCCCTCCGGTAGGCATATTGATTGCCCCGCTGTCGTTCTCGTTGCCGAATTCCATTTTTACTTTTTCTTGTGTTTTTCTGCTTCTACGTCCTGTATAACAAGACAACACCCACAAAAAAACCCTCATACACTCATTTCCCCCAGTTCGGTAGGCAGCTCCCCTTTTCCCAGAAGGCTCTCAATATCCTTCGCATCATGCCTATTTTATACATTTCCCTCCCTTATGCAAATGCGCCGTTTGTGAAGGTCCCATTATTTTTCCGTCAAAAACTATGATACAATGCCCCAACAATCCTTCCCGTCGTCGCACAAACCCGTTACCGCAAATCCCCAAGTCACCCTGCATTTCAACCTCAGTCAGTCCAAGCTATGCCCCAGTCAAAAAAATGACAGTCCCACGGACGCAGTCAGAGACAGAACCAAAAATGTGAGCAAGGCCGCCGCCAGTCCTTGGCTTGTAGCCTTTTAGTTTCTCTGTCCTCGGCCTCCTCAAGCCATTGTTCCACTGGGTCCCGACTTAGAAACCTGACCAGTCGTTGCCCCGGGAAGGGTCCTTTCAATCAAGTTCCATCCAAATCTTCCAGTTTGAAAGTGTTCAGCCCCACCCGCTTGGCGACCCGGTAGGGGCCTTTGAACCTCCTCCCCAGTTGTCCAGACCAAGTACTTTCCAGTGCCGAATTCCTTAGCAATATCATCTCCCCCACTTGAAGTGGCTCCTTTCTGACATTCTTAACCTGGTCTCACCTTGCTTTGTCTCTCATTCTGCTGTCTAGTACCCGGTTGGCGATGTCTTCCATGACTTCTTCGTTTTTAAGGACTTGTCGACATCTTGCCTCGATTAACTCTTTCGTGGTCATTCGCGGATCATCATCTAACCTGTTCCAGGTAGGTATCACGGCCTCAACGGGAAAGTCGATCTCCCTTCCGTAACAAAGTTATGCTGAGATGCATCTCGTTGTCCTCGTAGGTGTCATGTTCTCTGAAAAGACAGTCTGCTTGAGATACCTAGGCCAGCTTCCTAGATGATTCGCTGCGAGCTTCGCAATCGTGTTCTTTAAGGTTCGGTGTTCTCTTTCCACAGGTGCATTGACCTCAGGGTGATACGGCTCGATGAGTTTGATTGGTACGCAGAGTCTCTTAAGCATCCCCAATACTTCTTGGTTCATAAATTCTGTCTCATTATCCGCTATGAATCTCTTGACGAAAGGATGCCTCAAGTAGAAGTCTTCTACCTTGTCTGCTACACTTCTCCTTGTCTTTTTCTTGAGAGCGACCGCCTCCACAAACCCACTCAAGTTGTCTCGCGCATCTAGAATATACCTGTACCCATCTGTTAATACAGGCATGACCGCAAGGTCAAGGTGGACCAGATGTCCTGGCCCTAGCACCCGCGTAGGCCTAAGCGGCTCAAAGACACGTGTCGAGCTTCGTTCTTCGCAGATAAGGCATGTCTGGCAGTATATGGCGACCATGCTTGCCATGCCTGGCCAATAATAAAGTGGCGTTATCTTTGAGAGACTCCCTTTGGACGACTGATGCCCTCCCGCTAACCCGTCGTGCATTGCGTGGATAACATCTAACTGCCTAGATCTTCCGCACACAACTCTTCTAGGCATAGCACCTTCTTCTCTTCGGAACAGATGGCCGCCCCTTAGGACGTACCTTTCGGCCTCCTCCCTTGCCTTAGTGCTGATTTTCGTGGGTTGTTTGTTTCCTACCAGCAGGCAACAACAACCCGATCTCCCGAAAGATCCCTTCGTATGTCTGGGCATAGAAAAACTCCTTCTCTTCGTGGTCCTCATCCTTTCTCTCCTGCATCTGGTTTACCATCCATTGCAACTCTTTCTTCTCCCAAGATTCCACTAAGTTCATCACGGCTTCCCGACCTCCCTCAACTGCCATTGCTATTAGCTCCTCCTTCGGTCCTACTATTGCTCCCCATGAATCTCTCTCCTCTTTACGACCTCGAGTGGTGACGGGTCCTTCTCTAAGTTCTGCTACTATGGCAGACGCCACCTTCTCCGAAGTCCGGATCAACAGTTCTCCCAACGCGCATTCTTCGCCCATCATTTCATTATCCACCGCAAGAGTTTCTCCCTCGAATTCAAGGAACGCGTCTATGGGCTCCGCCTCTTCCACCCCTTCTGGAGTGATGCAAACCCGGCTCAGCCCATCGGCCTTGTTTCTGATTCCCGCAATCCATTCGATCTTGTAATCGAACTGCCAGATAAATCCTACCCATCTCCCCACCGTCGGATCTATAGGCCTGTAATCCTTTACGGTCCCCGCAACATTTGTCGGATCGATCTAAAGGATGAACCGCCTCCCAAATAGGTAGACCTGGAAGGTTTTCAGGCAACGTAAGATGGCTAAGACCTTTTTTTTGAACTGCGAGAACTATCGTTCTGCGGAGTTCAAGGTTCTACTTTTGAACCTAATCGGTCTCTCTCTCCCTTCCTCATCCCATTGAATCAGTACGCCTCCTACGACCAAGGGTCCTCCATCCGTTTCTAGGATGAATGGTCGTCTCACTTCGTCATTAAAACAAGGCGCTGACAAGGCGACTTGCTCAGATGTCAATATGTCCTTAAGGGTTTTGACAGCTCCTTCTCGCTCCTCCGTCCAATCCATGGTTCCCTCTTCTCTGATCATGGCCCGGATAGGTTCGACAATCTTGGCAAAATTCTTAATGAAGATCCTTCAAAATCCGACTACTCCTAGGAACTCTCTTACCTCCGTTGTCGTGCGCAGGGGTGTTGGCCATTGTGATATCTTGTCTGTCTTTGTCGGGTCTGGCTTCCTACCTTAAGCCTGACAGCGAAATCCTAGTATAGTTACTTCTGGTACTGCTAGAATACTCTTTGGTCCACTAGCCGTGATGTTGTACACTAGGAACCGTCGGAGTAAGTCCTTAATGTCTTGCAGATGGTCCCATACAAATCTTCGAATCCCCGGCTGGACTCCAGTCTCGTCCTTCTCTTGAGCGCCTTTGATTGGATTGTCATCAATATAGGGCTCACATTTTTCTGGAAACATGTCTCCGGCGACGACGAGCATTCTCCTTTGTGCCTCGGCTACCGCGTTCGTAAAGCCCATAGGAGTCACCTGCATCTGCAATTGTCCTACGGGGGTATGCATTGCGGTGTACGGCCTGTCCCGGACATCCAATGGAAGTTGGTCGTATCTTGAGTACAGATCGATCAAGGAGTAAATGCTCCGACCGGCGTGCGGCTCTGCTAATAAATCAGCCTGAGGTAGCGAGCCAGCATCCCGGATGGTTACCGCATTTAACTTCTGCAGATCCTGAATCCACCTTAGCGTCTTGTTGGGCTTTCGAAAGGCGAACCACCGGTTTGCGTATGGCGACGCCGCAGGTTCTGCGACGAAGGAGTCCATCTTCGCTCGAAGAAGGTCTGTCACTTCCCCTGCTATCCCAAATACATAGGACGGACCCTTGTCATTCCAGCACTCATGTTCTACCGTGTGGATTCTGACCGGAGGAATCAGCTTCGCGTCCAGCTGCCCCTTTTGGTGATCACTAAAGACAAATGTCAGGTGAAACTCTTGGCAGGTCCTTTTGATCAGGAGGTTTTCCTCTTCCGTTAGGAATCCGTCTACCCCTATCTTCATCGTATCAGCTACCGCATCTGGTATTCGATGCCCTTTCGTCGCTCTTCTCTCTTGGATTACTAGAAGGACCTCCTCTTCCTTCTCCATAGCCTCTTCCTTTGATGTCTCTAGCAGGATCGAGACCGATTTTGCTTTCTTCCCTACCGGCTTGTATTTTCGAACACTTCCTTCGGAGATCTTTTTCCTAAAAAGTGAACGGTCGGGATTGCCCTTGTCGCCTCTGCGATTCGTGTTTCAATACTAACTTATTTCTCATTCAGACAATATCCCTTTTGCACCTCTACTTCGAATTTGGTCAGGGCCGCCGAGTCCACTCCTACCTTGTGGTATCTGAGGACCTTGATGAGCTGTAACAAATCCGGGATCTTGAGCGCGACTTCCGGCACGTCCATGCGTACTTCTTTCCGTTTGGGCAAGTTAGCACGAGTTCGACTTCTGACTCATTTTCTGCTACCATAACACCTAAGACTTCGTCCTCCTGCCTCCTCTTCTTCTGGGGCAGGCCCATCTTGATCCATTCCTTCTTGTTGAATGTCTCTTCAATCATAATTTCTACCCTTTTTCTCATGCCCTCCATCCGCGCGAAAGCCCTTTTTCGTGCGCTATCTTCGAATGACGGCGACCATGTTGCCAATTTCCCCTTCGGAGGGTCTCCTCCCATCCCGAGGAGTCGGAGGAGCTCACCCCGGCCGGTCACTGGGTCCTGTATATCTACCATGTACGTGTCATCGTGCAAGTGCATGCCTATCATTTCTACGTTTGCGCACCATGGCCTCCCGAGGATAATGTCGTGATCCATCTCCTCCATTACGGTCATCCGCTGAAACGACCAGATTGACTTCCTGATTCCCGTCTTGACTGCACATTTCGTGACATACCCTGCGAACATAATTTCCCCACCGGCTCGCCGGATGCTCCCCATTACTTCCTTATTTACCGTACAGCCTGTGATTGTCGTGAAATCTCTCCTTATGAGAGTGATTTCTGCTTCCCCCTCTACTAATGCGTCGGTATGATGAGTACCGATCTGAAACTTCAATTTTCCTACGGGTAGCGCATGGAAACTGAGCTTTGTCCCAGGAGGTGCCCTCAGGACCTCACCACCTTCTCGGTCTGACAAGCTCAAACGAATGTCTGCAAAGGCTTTCTCAAGATCCTCTAGATCCCCGCGACTCCTTTGAAGGTTACCAACCTCCCTTTCTTCTTCTGGTAATTCGGGGTTGTCGTCTATTTCTACTCGCCGCCGAGTCAACAGTTGTCTAAGCCCTTTGAGCAACCTAGAGCTCGCCTGCAGCATGGTCTGAAACGACACCGACACCATGGTTCCTAGCAACTTGCTAAGGGTGTCGTTGATCTCGGGCAAGGTTAAGATCGGGTTTGATACCGAAACTTCTTCTTGGCAGCGGTAACCTTGTCCGCAGGCTCCTCTTCCCTAGGCTTCTCATAGACTTTCTCTGGCTCCCCTGCCTCAGGCTCTGCCTGGGGTACGGAGATTCCAACAACCTTCTCCATCACGGTGTCACGGATAATCCTTCTCCCGACCATCCCTAGCCGAGTAGTCGCGTTCACCCTATCACGTTCGTCGTTTTCCAAAATGAAGTTGGCCTGCGGCCCGCGGTCCGCGGCCCCAAAGTTGATCCCAGATGATTTCGACCACCGGCTCAGCTTCTACGGCTGCTATCTCTAGCCCATTGAACATGATAACGGCTCGCCGCATCCCCCCTGGCGAGTTCCAATTTACCCGTTCTCCCTGTGGTCCGAATATCTCTCCCTTTAACGACCTGGTACATCTCCTTTTTAATATATCATGGTTGAGTTTTGGACATGCGCGCACATGATGTCCCATCGTGGTGCAGTATCTGCACTGCTCGTTAGCCTCATCTCTCCGTCGGAATCCTCCATTGGCTACCCCGGGTGAAACTACGGCTTCCTAGGGAGGGAGGGCGGATCGGGATACTTGCGCCTGCATAACCAGTAGTGCGTTTTCCACCCTTTCAATTTTGTGGTCGACTCCGTGCACCCGTTCGTGTGGGCTTTCAATCCTCTTCTTTACCTTGTCGCCTGTCTTACCGGTCAGGTCTATGACCTCCCCTTCCTTAAGCAAGGCCAAAGACTCGGTCACTACCGTCTTTTCAGCTAGGTCCGTTACGGTGCTAAAATCCACATCCCTGGTGTTTACGAACTTGCTCGTCTGCTGGTAGGCTGACATAATCTTGTCTTTGTGAAACTCGGAGAACTGCCTGAGGAAGTATTTGCTCATTATTCGGTCCGTAACCCCGAGGATCCTTAGTGCTACCAGAGTGAACTCCCGTAGGAAGTCATTGTACGTTGCGAAGTCCTTCCTCTAAACTGCCGCTAAGTCGACCTCCGTAGCCATTTTCTCTACTGCCAGAGATTTTCTCATCATCACATCCCGGGTCTCCTTCCAAGACCGGCTTGCGGCCACAATGACCATTATGTCCCGCCCTAGGCTCAGTGACACATGCTGTCCTAGGTGGTCCATCTTTTCTTCTTCTGTCAATTTCAGTAACGCAGTCAGGTTCTCATAGTTGATTAGAAAGTCCGTGATATTTGCCCCGTCAAACGTCAACTTTTTCTTAGCGTCCGCTAGGTAGCCTTGATTTTTGTTCAGTGCTCGTGCGAGGGATGATACTATCTTCTTAAGGCCGCCCTCGGAGCTACTGGCCTCGCCCGCCATACTGGTATCCGGCCTTGCCGGCCTTTTGTCCCTTCCTAGTTTTTGCAGTTCCTTCCGGCTCGAACCATCCAAACACCCTTTCCCTGAGGCTCCAGAGCGCTTCACACCCCCGCGTTACCGCCGGCCTAGTCGGCAGACGGCTAACCCTACTATCTATGGCTGGTAGGTTTGTAGCTTTTTCCGCTTCCATCCCCGTAGAGTTCTCTCTTTCTTTCCTCCTTTTGCTCAGCGTTCCCCCACGGTCGCTACCCTTATCCCCTTGCCCAGTTCCGCCTCGGCAGGTCCTCCTTTCGTCCCGCGGTTCTTCCTGCAGAGGATCTTCTTCGTTCCCAGTCATCATTTCCTCGATCAATCTTGCCTTGTACTCGGCGGTCCTCTTTTCTATTTTAGCTAGTTTGTGCCTCACATCCGTGACCCTTACTTTCTTAGACACAACTCCCTCTGAATTCCGAGGGCTTGTCCTATCCTTATTCCTGCCCTCCTTGGTTTCCTGAGTCCCTTGCCTGCTTCCCCCGACTTTCCCCCAGCTTTCCCCCAGCTTTCCCCTGAGGAGATTTCCTTCCGGTTCCCTTTGGTACCATCCGAATTTATTGATTCTCTGTCTTTTTGCCCTTCCTCACTTTGTATGGCACTGCCTCCTAAGCCTGGTCCTCCTTCGCTCTTACGGTTACCCGTCTCGTCCTCTGTTGCCATTTTCCCCAGTTCTGCATAAACCAGAGAATTCCCCAGGACGCACGCAACGCGGGGCATTTAGGCTCCTTAGGTTCCAGCTTCTTTGGCTTATCTTTATTCGGGAAATAGCCTTCTCGCTATTTTCGTTTCTTGATTGCTTCCCTAAGGAGCCACGACTAGCCCTGCTGCCCTGCCGAACTAAGGACGTGACTTAATTTCCTTTATCACAGGCTCGTTTAGAGCGCCCTTGCCCCGTCGAGCCGGTGCGTAGGAGTCCGGGTTAGGCATCCCGCTAGGGAAAGTTTCCCAAGCAATATTCCCCTTTTCGACCTTCTGGGTCATGGCAACCATTAGGAGTCTACCCCCTCCCCCCCGTTATTATTTAGCGGGTTTTGATCGTCCGGGTCCGAAGCCCTTCCTCATTTCCATCGGTGGATTTATACTTAATTTGCCCTATCGGCCCGTCCTCGGAGGCTAGTCCCGTTCTCGCCCTCGTGGCCCTTCTGGTTTGGTAGGCTCCTCGAATAAATGAGTCAACCCTGCTAAATAATTCTCTCATATCTCGATTTCTCTTAGGATTATATGCGAGTAATCCGCCCAGGCTAGCCGTGGCAACCCAAATATCAGAATATGGATGACTTCCAGTAACTCATGGGCCCTGTTTCCCCATAACGGCCCATGTTCCACAGAAACATCGTAGAACATCCAAAGGGTTTGAAAGGGGAAGTGGTCTACCCAGACTATCGCCGAGTCTGCCAGCGCTTGTGCCCTTGTGAGGCTCCTGAAAATGAGGTCTATCATAAACCGGGGGACTCGACACCTCAGCGGTGTGGTTGGTGCCCTGAACTCCCTCCAACCCCCCATCTCCACCCTGGTAAGCAGATCCAGGTTTCTTTTACCCTTGACCGATTGTCCTATCCGCGTCAATGCCCGGGCCGCCCTCCGAAAAACTAGAGCCAACTCGTGGCCTTGCGCTATCCCTATCCCCAATAAGTATCAGCCAACCTCGGGTAGGTATAGGACCCCGGTTACCTCTAAATTGGTGAACAAATCGTCCCCAGGCCCTCGGTTGAGTCTCATCCCCGTCCACCGATATTCCATCAACATGAAGGCGTTGTCTCTTCCTAGGGTCACGGCCCGTTGTCGGCGCGAATACCCTTACAAGGGTATCCGCTGTGGTTTTTGCAATTGACAGAAAATAGTTCTAGTTTAAATTTTAAGTATAACGCGCTAAGCGCGACCGCGTCTGTGACTTACGTTGACTAGATGGTTGGCTAGAGTAAATATTGCGTGGGCGCGCGTGATTCTTCCCTATAGTTGATTATGAAACCGGCGCGGGCGCCGGTCGGTATTTTTATGTTTATTTGTAAGTCTTTATTTTATTTTTATTTTTTGTTACTCTTGATAGAACTAGGATTCATGGGATATTTTCTGTCGATGGCTACGTTTGACCGAGTCAAGCGCGCGTGTGGAGGACGGCCTCGACGGCGGCGACGACAGTGACGGTATGACTCCGGTAGGTCTTGGTACGCTGGGTGGCGCGGGTGGCGGCCGTGGTGCAGCTTGGCAAGTCGGCGCAGACGCTGGGCGGCCTCGCGCACGGGCGTAAGCAGAGACGAGGCTCAGACCAATTTCCTTGGCCTGAGCGGAACGCTGCCCCGCCTTATATGGCACTCCGCGGATATAGGTCTCGAGCTTGGGCTTAGCCCTATAGAATTACGGCCGTGGTTTGACGTTGCGGAGGTTCAGGGATTGAGGTCGGCAGGCATTGGCGCAGCAGTTAAAGCGGAGCAATGTGGAGAAGACCAAGGGGGCGAGGGCCCAACGGGGCTATCCCCCTTCGGTTTTGTTTATAGGCGCGGCGAAGGGGGCCAATCAGTAGGACTCCCTGTTAATTCCCCCGTTTTGTTTTTTTATTCTTACCTTTTTCCCTCGGCTTATTTTTGCTTTACTCGCATCCCGTCCTGGGACACGGTATCGGCCTCATGTAGGGTTGCGGGGAGCGTGTCGAAAGCAAGGGGTATGAGCATAGAGAATGGTTGAAGTTGACCCCGTGTAATGCATGGACTGTTGTCGAATCTTTGATGTGATTGCATGTATGCTTGTGGTTCGGACTCTGGATGTGGCTGCCTGCGATTACATACATATATGGCTGAGAGGAATCCCACTGTGACTGTGAGAAGTGATCATCCTATATCAATAAGCCTTATATATATATATATTTATATGTGCCCTGGGTATGTGCGCGGCTTATTGAGATCGTGCGCAAGGGTTAACTAGGTTATGATTTGAGAGAAAAGGGAGATCCTCTTTTATCCTTTTGTTTTTTGGAGATTTTATAGTCGGACGTGTGGTCCTGGACCGGGATTCGAGATCCTTGTCCAGGACATCCCAAGCCCTAGATTCTGCAGGGAAGGAATCTGCCCCCGTGCAGAGCTTATTTGCCTTGCCTACCGAGACGCTCAGGCCAAAGGCCGAGGTCTCGCGGCGGTTGCACGACTATTCCTTCAGTCGTGCAATGTCGTGAAGGATTAGACCCTCACGACACTTCGAGTCTGACACTTGAGTGTCATAAGCGGTACTCGGATCCACGAGGGACCGCTTGATTATGAGCACTACGTAGTACGCCATCATTGTGATTGCTTGCGTACGCTTGCATTGCGAGTCGATATGAGTTAGCCCTATGTCCGCGCTGTTTTATACTAAGTCCCGCACGCGACGCCTATCCGATTTTCACATCGGAAAGTTATGGGATGGCTACCGAGGGGCTAGGAGCGTTGTCACGTTGTTTATGTTGTGTCGTTTCGTTGTATGCGTGTGTGTTTTATTTTTGCGTTCGTAAAGTGGTGTGCGCGTGGTGTGTGGAATGCGTCCTCGTCGACCGGCGACGAACCGCGCTTGGGACTTCAACCCCCCAAGATGTCGGTTCGCGTACGGGTCCGATAGGCGTATTACCGCGCGTACCCCCTATGCTACAGCGAAC